TTTTTTTAACAGCAAAACCAGAAAAACAATATAAATGCTCAATCAATAAAAATGTGTTAAATAATTATGGATACATTCATATGGTGGAATTGTAAGCAGCTATTATTCAGTGAGGTACAGCCATGTGTGCTAATACAAAAAGATTTCTAAGAGATATTACTAAGTGAGGGGGGAAAGCACGAAACAGTGTATATAATATGATCCCATTTGATATAAATGAAAAGGACATGCATTCCATGTTCACATAAGGTTGGGAGATTTTGTTTGTTTTGTCTTATTTTTGGGCCAACCTTAAGAAACTATTGATGAGGTTAGCTTTAGGCAATGAAACTGTGATTTGGAAAGTGAGGAGAAAAAGACATTTTATTTTATATATTTCCAAATTTTTAAAATTTGGATTGCATGATATTTAGGTTTTAAGTAAATTTTAAAATTTTTTTTAAAAAGTTGTTTTCCCAATAGGCACTGATTCTCTGACTGAATGAATCACACTTGGATTACCTACTTGTTTCCCTTGCCAGTTCTCATGGCTGCTTCCTGGTTCAGGATATTTAGAGTCCAATGTTGGCCACACTGTCACACTTTTGTCATTTAGCCTCATTCAGCTCAGGCATCCTCCTCTCTATATATCCTGATAACCTCTCTTTTTTACCAAATGCAAACTTCTTTTCTGATTTTTGGCTCAATCTTTGGTAGTTCAGGAAGGGAATCTGTTCTCCATGGCCACCAAATGAGTGACAGGTGAAGTGCATGGCACTGATGTGGCTTGAAACATCTTTGTCTGCCATTTCTGCTGGGCCAAATACTTCTCATTCTTTGAGACCAAACTCCAAAGCCAACTTCTCTAGAAAGCCTGCTCTGAACTTACAGCTCAGAACTTATCTTTCAGTATTATTTTACATTTCATTTTTACTTAAGCACATTTTTATTTTTATTTTATTTATGTCTGAGTTTACCAACATCTCTGGGATTTTGGAAGCACCTAGCACAGAGCCTCATCCTCAATAAATATATGGTGCATATTGGTGGGATTGGTACCAACTGAAGTTGAAACAAAATTATAATCTAAAAATCTCTTAATGTGTAGTTGTTTCTACATGGATTGGGGATAATATTATCTATGGCCAATTACCAATAGGACACAGGGTAGAAGGTCTCTGTAAGAGGAATTTGGAGAAAATTGTCCCCTTGGCACTATGACAGGACACTTTGGGGGGGGGGGTTCATGCCTTTATTGATGGTGCCTTCACATAAAGTTATTACTGCAAATGACTTTCTTCTACTGTCAAAAATGTGTTGCCAGAGAAGAAGCAGAGTACTATTGGGGAGGAAAAAGCACCTGATAGGAAAGAGTTAACATATGCAGATCTCAAGTATTTATTCCAAATAAAAATGAAATGAAATGAGTTGCAATGTATACCCATCTAACTTAAGCAAAGCAAACACCATACTTTTAGAGAGAGAGAGAAAGAAATGAGCAAATGAGAATGAGAGAATCCCTGTATTTATGTTGTTCCCCTTCTTCAACCTCAAACTCAGCCTCTATCATTGCAGCCAAAATGTAAAATGAAATTTAAAAAATCAGAATTCCAGGTTGTGAGATTCAAAGGACTCAGTACCTGTTGAACCAAAGGGTTCCTAAGTTACATGCTTTTTCTTTCAGGGGTGAATGTAGTTTCTAACCCTGCATAAGAGTAACTCCATATGCTATGCTCACAAATTTACTGTAAGCATTATAACCACACTTTTTGTCACTTAGCATTCTTTTTCCTCATCCCTAGATTCAAAGACACATATTATATCATTATGATCTCTTGTCATAGTGCTTTTTGATTTATGAATTAGGAACCACACACCCAATTAGCTTTCCACTTCCACTATTAAATCTTAATGATTAAGATTTATCTTAAGTAACATTTATCATGAATATGACAGATAAGAAAATTCTGGAAAAATGAACTTGCAGAAATCATCTTGCACATTTCTGAAACCATGTCAGCTTATATATTCTAACACATATCAGATATTATCTTAGCTTCTTGGGTGTGAATTTATCAATTCTTTAAAATCTAGAATAGTAATTTCATTTTGAAAATACCTTGGAACAAATTCCTCCTCTAATGTGCAAATCTAGACATGTCCCATGTTATCTCATATTTAAATATTTCATATTAATGATAAAGGAAGATAGAGGGCAAAAAGAAATATATCATATATTTTAACATCTTCTAGAGCTGCTGATGAAAATGAATGCTGATGTGCCATTACTTTTGGTCTAAAAATATCCTAACACTCCTAAATATTCTAACACATATCAGATATTATAGAAGAGACCACTCTCCCAAACTCTTGAATATCAGAACTTGCAAAGAAAAAAAA